TAAGCACCACCACAGTGATATACTCAGAAAAATCCAGACTGAAGTAAGCCACAGGCTAAAAACTGATTTTACTCAATAATAAATTATAATGGGGAAAACAGGAGCTGGAGGGAAATATTACAGGATAAAAGAAACCTAAATACATTAAAAAATAAAATATTAAACAGCTGTAGCATGTTGACCTTACTTGGGTTCTAGTTCAGACAAACAACCGGTTAAAAAATTGAGAATTTGAAATTTGAATGATGCTTGTATATTTGATGGTATTAAAATGATGATTTCTCATTTAGCATTTGAGATTAGAATAGTTATTATCTTTTAGAGATACATATTGAAATGTATGAATGCATCAATGATGTCTGGAATTCTCTTCAAAATTATATGAAAGAGGAGTTGGTGGAGAGATAGGGATACAGGTGGAAAATATTGGCTATGAGTTGGTAATTGTTGCAGCTGGTTGCTGAGTACTTGGGACCATTATTTTTTTGTGTGGTTTTATAGAAGTTTTAAATTTATTTATGTACATATGTGTACACATGCAAAATTTCCATCTGAAAAAGAAAGTTGAATTTGTGGCTTGCAGACAGCAAAATCCAAAGAGGTCACATAATAACATGTTACATTATTAAGAGCTTGTATGATTTCTGTGAAAACAGAAGAAAAGTAATCTCAATGCTACTATATTTTTTAAAGGATATAAATATGTATCATCATTGATGTTAGTATTTTGTTATTGATATTTTGTATTACCATGCATGGAAACCCAAAAGGTATCAGTTCTTTTCATTACCTCTCTATGGTTCAATAGCAAAATGTTGAAGTAGAAGATATTGATGTGGCTTTTATCTGTGTACCTCTTTTTCTTTAAAAAAAAATGCTTTTTGTGAAAATTCTCAGTATTTCTTTAAAAGAGTTATGCAGCATCAAAATAAAACTATTCCTTATCTACTCAAGTTGCTAGCTGAATTACAACCCACAGAAATAATTATTTTTACTAAAATATTTATCAGTTTTTATTATGCCTTTGTTATATGTCTTCAGGTTCAGTGTTAAATCTAACCATTATATGTACCACTTTGCTTTTCAGCTTTGGTTGTATTTAGGTGTAATCCTTCATAACATTTTCAGTGGGCCTGTGCATACTGCACTGTGAAATTAATGAAATTCATCAACTCTTCCTAATATAGTCGAATCATTCAGCCTATCAATAACCTTCTGCTTCTCTTGTCTCACTTATGACTTTAAACCAGCCCCTGCTCATTAGTGCCCCTGTCAGATGTTGAAAAAAAAAAATAAAGATGAAAGTCAGTTTAATTAGTTTTATCTGTTTGCTTTCTGGCTAAATGTTACATAGATGAGCGAATATGGTTTATTAGTAGGAATAAAAAATTTTTAAATGTGCTGGTTCAAATATACACATTACCTTGGAATAGTTATCTGTATTAGCCTGTCTCTGTGATTTATTGGTGGCAAATTTTTTATCATATGGCCACACCAAGCTTATCTTATGTATTTTCTGTTTCTGTCCTAAAATTAGCCAATTCCTCAAGGAGTCTTTGTTCCTTTTATTGGAGATTGGTATTGGATTTGGATACTATATGTACTTGTTGGTAGTGGGATATTGTTGATCTAATCAGCTAACATAGCAAGGTGAAAAATGTATGTGTATTAACTCAAGAATGTATACATATCTACCAATATTCCTGTATATAACCATCTTTATCTCTGTATATGAGTTCATACTGATATCTCCAATTTGCATTGATTACCACATGGATCATTCTAAACTCCTCCTTTTGATTATCTGTAATATCCCACTGTGCCATTAAGAAATCTTTTTTCCACCATCTACCATTCAGTTATGAAATTATCCAATTCCAATATGCCTGCATAATAGTTGCAGAATTGTTAAAGTCTATCCTCATGGGGTAACAACTTTATTAGAGTACAGTGCTTATGCACAGTTTCTTTTGCATTTAGTCTCACAGACTCTACTTAGTTTCAAAGTTATATAGGTTAGCATAGTTTCTCCTACCTCTTCAGTGAGGTTGTTTTATACATTTTGAATGCATTTAGATTTACTTGTCACTTTATGCCTTTCGTCTGGGGATCCCAGATCATTTAAGTGATTTTTAAAAATTTTACACACGTTGTTTATTCATTTTGCTCTATGGGTTTTTTTTTTGCTCTATGGGTTTTGATAAATTCATTGTTTCCTGTATTCATCATTATAGTGTCATCCAGAATTGTTTCAACACCCTACGAGATCCCTGGTGCTTCACCCATGTGTACTTTCTCCCTTCCCCTTGAGCCCCTGGTGGCCACTGACGTTTTCTGCCTCTGCAGTTTGCCTTTCCTAGCATGGTGATAGTTGGAATTATATGCATCCTTTTCAGACTGGCTTTTTTTCCCCTTGATTCCCTTCAGATGTGGGTGATTATGAATAAAGCTGCCATACCATTCACATGCAGGTTTTTGTGTGGACATAATTCTTCATATCAGATAGGTAAATGCCTAGTAGTGTGATTGTTGGGTCACACAAAAAAATTGTATTTAGCTTTGTGAGAAACAACTAAACAGTCTTTCATTCTTACTAGCAGTGAATGAGAATTTTGTTGCTCTGCATCTGTGCCAACAATTGGTACTGTCAGTTTTTTAAAAATTTTAACCATTTTAATAGGTATGTAGTAGAATCTCATTTTTGTTTTAACTTTACTAAAACAAATGGGTGTCTTTTAATATGTTTATTTACTACATCTATATTTTCCTTGGTCTGTTCAAATCTTTGGCCCATTTTTAATTTGTTTATTTTCTTATTGTAGAGGTTTCGAATTTCTTTTTTTGTTTTGGATGCAAGTCCTTTATCAGTTAATACAGCAAATCATACTTGCATGATAATGCACTAAGAAAAAGTGGAATGACAAGGAGGGGTGGATCAGTTTTTACTGTGTTTTGAGCTTGTGTTTCTGGGAACATGGAGTAGTAATAATAACAGGAAAAAGAAAACTGAGAGTGAAAATCATTTTGGGAAGGAGATGACTCATTTAGTTCGACTTCAGATGGAGCTTGAGGTGATGGAAGAATATCCTTAAGGTTCCTGATTCAGATTTTGGTGTCATCATCATGAATTATTGAAGAAAAAGCAGAATTCAAAAGCAATTAGAAAGTTAGGAAAATAATTGTATATTCTTTTTTTTAAAAAAATAAATGTATCATTATCTTCTATAAAGCCAGTGACCTGTTACCAGACACCAATGAGTTTCAAGTAATAATCATTTGCTTTAAAGAGGTTAGCATAGCATATAGTTGCAAGCAAAAGCAAGTGAATGAGAGAGATTGAGGAGACTGAGGTGCTTCTCCAGATTGCTGTCAAACTATCCAGTGATATGTGACAGTGCTATATTAAAGAAAGCTTGTATTTTCCAGTTGTGATTGATCTCAAGAATTGTATATTCTTGTGTCATGGAAGTGATGAATGGGAGTTTTAAGAAGGAATCAGGTGTTGAGTATATCCTATTACAGAGTACATAATCAAAGAGAGTATGACGTTTGCATTGTCTGTGTCCTTGAAACTCAAGTATACTATCGACTTACTGTAACATCCTGTGCCTATTGTTTCTAGGTAATAAAAATTAATTTGCTGTGTCAGGAGAGCACGCTTACTTTAATGAGTCTTTTATCCTTAGCACTGCGTAAAATTTTTCAAACTGAATTTTACACCACCTGAGCTCTTTTGCAGAGTGAATATAGATGAAGATCTCCTTTTCTTTTTGCGAATACAACTATATATTTATATGTATGCATATATGTGGCCTACCCCACATATATATGTATGTTTAAGTTGACTATATAAGTACTGATTTCATTGAAAGAATTTTTCTTCTCAATTATAACATTCATTTGTAGAATCCTAACAGTTGCAACTTTAGTCCCCAGCAGAATTAATTAACACATGAATTCTGTGCTTTGTCTGTTTGGGAAAACATACAGCCTACTCCCTGGAGTCATAAAGATATGCTTCCTTTCTGTCCCAAAGTACTATTCTACATTGCCTTTTTTACCTGACCATCCCTAAGAAGGGTCACTTATTGATATAATTAACAGAGAAGATACAGTAGTAAAAATAATGATTATCACCGAGGATAATTATTTATAGCCTGTTTGTGTTTGAGGTTGTTTAATGAAATGAAATACCAACATAAAGCACCAATTTAAAAACATATAATTTTATATGTATAATATGAAAACATGCAAAGGTACTTTATTTGAAAATCCTATGTATATTCAACAGTTATCAGAATTATCAGAAACTGACTACATACATAGAATATTAATGAACAAATGTCAAGATTATTCTGAACTGAATGCAAGTTATACTACTGGGGTTAGTGCCTTTGAGAAAAAGGAATAATTTGTGTTGCAAGGCAATGAAAGATAAAATTTCTGTATTTATTCATTACACATTTTTAACGCTTATAATTTTCTAGTAGTAGAGTCTTCTGTTTGCTACCATTGCTAGAGATTCATTTCTTTGAGTATTAAGTCAACAGTAACTACTTACATAAAAATAAGTACTTTGTAAGGCTTAATGTACAACATTGGGTCATGGCATCAGTTCATGTATAACACTGAAATTTACTGATGGAAAGCAGCTATGTAGCATGATGTGATAACTGTAGTTTAAAGCAGCTGAACTTCTAACTTTATGTTCTTCTTATCATTTTTTATTGTGATAAAACACGTAATGTAAAAATGTTGTTTCAGTCATTTCAAGTGGCATTAATTTATATTCACAATGTGAACAATCATCATGATCCCTGTCTACTTGCAAAACTTTCCTTCCACCCTGACAGAAACTCTTAAGCAACAACTTCTCATTTCTGCTCTTCAGCCCTCTCTCTGGTAGATTAGAGGTTGTTGTGTCTTTAGCATAATGTGTAATTATACTGTATCTTCTACTTCTGTATAGGTGAATTTTATTCTTTCTAATTCTTTTACAGGTTTGACAGATGAAAAAGTGAAGGCATATCTTTCTCTTCACCCCCAGGTATTAGATGAATTTGTATCTGAAAGTGTTAGTGCAGAGACTGTAGAAAAATGGCTGAAGAGAAAAAACAACAAACTCGAAGGTAAGATCCCATTCAGATTGAATATGGACTCATTTTAAATCAACTTTTAATTTTGTCAAAGTTTTATTCTAATTAAAAAGATAGAATAAGTAGGAAGGAAGAGACATAAATAAAAAAGGAAGATCTTTGACTAATTTTTAAGAAAAGCTTGGCAAACAATTCTTGAGAATTCAATTGATTTAGATATGACCACTTTGAAAAATGCAGAACTCGATTTAATGGTTATTATTAATGATTAGGAAAACATTATTTGTATATATTTCAAGAGCTATTTATATTATTACATTTTACAAAAAGAAACCTTCTTTTTTTTGTGTGTGTGTTGGAGTCTCACTCTGTCGCCCAGACTGGAGTACCTCGACCTGCTGGGCTCTGGCGATCCTTCCGCCTCAGCCTTCCAAGTAGCCGGAATTACAGGCATGCGCTACTACACCCAGCTGATTTTTTGATTTATTGTAGAGATGGGGTCTCGCCGCCCAGGTGGGTCTTGAACCTGCGGGCTCAGGCAATCCACTCACCTCAGCCTCCCAAAGGCGTGAGCCACCGAGCCCGGCTAAAAAGAAATCTTAAAAGAATTTTTATATATGCATAGTAGGAAAAGAACCATTGACTGGGTATTTGACTTTCAATTGCACTCAAACTCTAGCAGAATATTTATCATCATAATACTATCAGTAGTAGACCAAGGATACCTTTTTGACCTAAACACTAGTGAAAAGAGTGGAGAGCCAGTTTTAACTTTTGAGTTCTTGGTATTTTAAACACATTGTGCTTTTAATTTTCTACAAATTAACGTTCTACAATAGGGTCCCCTTTGTATTTGTTCTCTTATTCCCTAAAATATATTTATTTTCAATGCAGAGACTGCTTAAGAAGCAGTTATATTTTTGAGAAAAGAAATGTAAGTTCAAAAGGGATGTGAAGTCAAATAATTTTTTCTATAAAATTGAATATATTAATATGTTTTATTCAAATATTATAGTATAATTTTTATTTCAGTTTTAAATGGATTTATATTTGGCCAAACTTGATTTCTTATTTCTATTAATATTGTTTTTTACAGTGGCAATTAATTTTTATATAATTTTTGACTATATAATAACTTTCCTATTAAAAACCCCAAAATGCTATTTTGGGGGAGATTTTGTTAGTGTAATTGATGCTACTTTAAAGTATAAAATGAATGTTATGGTGCTAGAGGTATAGGTAATTTTCCTCACTAGTTTTTAAAGTTTCTGAAATTGTTTTATACAATTTTTATAATGAAAGAAGCAAATCTTTTACAAAAAGGGCTTTTGAAATAAATTTGAAATAGTTTTTAAAGTAAGTGTATGTGAATATGTTTGTATGCATATGCATGTATATGTGGATTAAGAGGGAGGGAGGAAGGGAAATAATTTATCAGGAGACAGGCATTTTCTTCTGAACAGTCAGGGGATTTAATGTCAAGACTAGCCTTAAAAAAAAAAAAAAGAACAGTTCACAATAGCAAGAACATGGAACCAACCATGTTGCCCATCAAAAGAGAACTGGATAAAAAAAAATGTGGTACATATACACAATGGAATGTTACGCAACCATAATGAAGAACAAAATCATCACCTTTGCAGCAGCCTGGATGGACTTAGAGTCTATAATACTGAGTGATCTTTCACAGAAACAAAGAACTGAGTATCACATGTTCTGACTCATAAGTGGACTTTGAACAACTATCGTAATACTGTAAGAAAAGGAATGACAGTAGCGAGAAACTGCAGGGGTGTATGGGGGGGACGGGGAAATGGGATTGGCAGTAGTGGGAAACTGCCTGGGGAAGGGGAGGGGCACACCTCATCAACAAGGGTACCTGCACAATGAATATTTGTATACCTAAACCTGAATTGTACCCCACAATTTCAAAATAAATTAAAAAAAAAGAATAAAGCTTGGCATTGCATATTTCAGTTTGAGATATTTCACCCTTTGAAAAGTGTGGCTGAACTTTGCTTAAGCACATAATAAATAAAGATACAAATTTTAGCTTGTTATATAATGAGAAATAATATAGTGCAAAAATATATTATCTTTGCAGGATATGAAATTGAATACAGGTCTTAGAAAAGGAAATAAAATTTAAAGTTTTTTATTTCAATAGCTTGGGAGGATACAAATAATTTTTGGTCTAGGCTTTAAGAAATAATAAATATTTGCAGTATACCCTGACTTGATCATCATAAACTATATACATATATGTAAATAACACATTGTATCTCGTAAATATGCACGATTATGTGTCAAAAATAATAAAACAAAAAACTGCAAGCAGCGTGAACACTGACCATTTCAAAAGCAAATATAGTTTTGTAATTTAACTAACACCACTTTCATTTTTTATAAATTTGAATTTTCATATATGATCTTTTTTAAAGCAGAAGATAGCTTATGTAGTTTTCTATCCCTATAGTGTAGATCTTTTCTATATGAGGCCTGGTTTATCAGTGGTTACAAAATAAAAATAAAATAAACATTTGCTGAAGTACCTTTAAAGTACAAAGCATTGTGCAAATTATTTAGTCCAGCACAACTTTGTTTATTTTCTATTTTATAAATGATGCAAAATAAAATAATCTGGATAAACTCATCACACTTTCAGCAAACTGTTCTCCAACACCTGTCTGTCAGTTTCTGTTCCTGAATCCACTTGCTCATGGCTGTCTTTGTGAGGGAGACTATCTTGCTGATGTCACCTCTCTGCTGTTGCTTTTAAATAACGACTTTAAGCTGTCAAAAAGCAAGTTTGCTTTCCTTTTTTCTTTTAGTATTTTAACCAACACCTACTATTTAGTGCTCACAAACAAAACACTTATAGTATAGAGAATGCATGGCATGTTTCAGTTAAAATACAGTAATATTTGTAATGCATCCGTATTGTGTGATCATAGAGAAATTTTACTTCCAAGGTCTTTCTCCTATTCAACCTTTTCATCTGGCTACAATTAGTGAAGATTAGGGAGAGTTTTACTATGTAGAGGTTAGCTAACAGATCGTTAAAGGTCAAGCATCTAATTCTTTTCTTTCTTTTTTTTTGAGTTGGAGTCTTACTCCATCACCCAGGCTGGAGTGCAATGGCACACTGATGGCCACCCCAGCGTTGACCTGCTGGACTCCTGGGATCCTGGAGCCTTCTAAATAGTCGGAACTATTTAGAAGTTCTGCCTCAGCCTTCTAAATAGTCGGAACTACAGAGGGTGCTACCACGCCCTGCTAAAATTTTGATTTATTATAGAGATGAAGTCTCACTAAGTTGCCCAGGATGGTCTCAGAGGGCTGGGATTACTGGCTGAGCCACCGAGCCCTGCCAAGCATCTAATTCTTGATGGAATCATCAGACTGTTGTAATTACTACATTGAAGTAATTTTGTATCCTTTACCCTAACAACACAGCTGATACATAGTAGGGGCTGTGTAAACATTTTTGAATTAATAAATGAATTAATTAGATAGGGTTAAATTCGAAACCTCCAAGTGAACCAGGATGATGTTTGTCACTATATTTGGTTCTCATACAATGCTGACACCAGAGCCATTTTTATGCTTATCTCCCCCATACTCATTTAAAAACTTAAAATTTTTAAATTTTATTTTAAAGATGTGGAGTACAATTCAGGGTTAGGTATACAAATATTCATTATGCAGGTACCCTTGCTGATAAGGTGTGCCCCTCCCTCCCCTGCCAATTCCCTCAATTGCTAAACTCATCCCCCGCTTCCCTGGCAGTTTCCCATTACTGTCAATCCCTTTCTTATAGAATTATGATAATTGTTCAAGGTCTACTTATGAGTGAGAAAATATGGTACTCTGTTCTTTGTTTCTGTGATAGATCACTGAGTATGATCAACTCTAAATCCATCCAAGTTGCTACGAAGTCCATATGTTTGTCCTTCTTTATGGCTGTATAATATTCCATTGCATATATGTACCACATTTTTTTATCCAGTCCAGCTTTGATGGGCAGCATGGTTGGTTCCATGTTTTTGCTATTGTGAATAAAGCTGTAACAAACATGCATGTACAAGTATCTTTTTTTGTGGAATGATTTGAGTTCCTCCGAGTATATTCCCAGCAGGGGAATTGTGGGGTCATATGGAAACTCAGTTTCTAGTTATTTCAAAAATCACCACACTGTCTTCCAAAGAGGTTGCACTAGTTTTCATTCCCATCAGCGGTGTAGAAGCGTTCTTTTTTCTTTGCATCCTCGCCAGCATCTGTTGTTGTTTGTTTTATTAATGATGGCCATTCTTAGTGGGGTTAGGTGGTATCTCAATGTGGTTTTGATTTGCATTTCTCTGATGATGAGTGAGGCTGAACACTTTTTTATGTGTCTGTTGGCTGCCCATTTATCTTCTTTTGAGAAGTGCCTATTCATGTCTTTTGCCCACTTTTTAATGGGGCTGTTTGTTTTTTTCTTTTCGGCGTGTTTGAGTTCCTTGTAGATCCTAGATGTTAGGCCTTTGTGAGATATATGGTTGGCAACTGTTTTTTTGCATTCTGTAGGCTGTCTCCTTGCTCTTTTGATGGTTACTTTTGCTTTGCATAAGCTCATTAGTTTGATGAGGTTCCACTTGTCTATCTTATTTCTTATGGTATGGGCACTTAGGGATTTGATCAGAAATTGCTTGCCAGTTCCAATTTCCATAAGGGTATCTCCTGCATTTTCTAAGATTCTTATAGTTTGAGGTTTTACATTTAGGTCTTTGATCCATTTAGAGTTAATTTTTGTGTATGGTGATAAACAGGGGTCCTGTTCAGTCTTCTGCATGTGATCAGCCAATTTTCTCAGCCAATTTTCTCAGCCCCATTTACTAAATAGGTTTTCCTCTCCTCAGTGGTTGTTGGTGGAGGCTTTTCAAAGATGAGTTGGTTGAGAAATTGAGGCTTTGCTTCCAGAATGTCTATCCTATTCCATTGGTCTATATGCCTATTCTTGTATCAATACCAGGCTGTTTTGATTGGTGTAGCTT